CTCTAGAACTTTCTAGCTATTCGTATTTTCAAGTAAAACAAACTTTGGATAAGAAAATAGAATATTAAAACAAACTTTGGATAAGAATCTAGAATATTCTTGTCCACGATTCTTTATTGCGATATTGTATTGTAAATTTCATATCAATTAAAAATAAATAGAAAAAATTACAATATATATATATATATTGTTTTATAAATTTATTTTGTGAAATTAAATTAATTTCAAGTTTATTTTATAAAATGATGTAAGAATATATTATATTTTTCTCTGTGAAGTCATCATTAAATAATTTACAATAGTGTAATGTTTTTCAGACATATAGTCCTGTGTTATAGATTTCACCTTAAAATATGGAAATGGACGAAAATTTCACTCTATAATCTAGCTAATTTAGATTTCAACCCATTTTGAAAATTTTTCCTAAAATAATGTGATATCTCAAGTATTTAACCCTCTTCTAATGTTCTTATTAAATTGTAGTGGTGTAAAATACTCATCAACTTCAAATCTACAGTAATTTATGGATAAATTATTTTGATTTTATAGAAACATTTATTTTAATTTTTATTTTCTAGAAGTCTTTATAAAAATATTTTGTCGAAGTTGTTAGATATTAATTTTAAAATTATTTAAGAAAAAAAAGCATGTAAAATTTGTACAAAACCTTTTGTTCACGTTGAACATATATTGGTGAAAGGTTGAGTCATGTCCTTCTAAACTTTTTTTTTTTTCAATCTTTACTCTTTTTTTTTCTAAATTTTTTTTTTGTTCATAATTTATTTGTTATCTTTAATTTCTTCATTATCCTTAATTTTTTCAATTTATGATATACATAAATGATTATATCATGTACTGAACCTTATCTTTAAAATAGTTAATTCTGAAAATAAAAATATTTTTTTAAATAATGGGACATAAATTAATTTGTATTTTTTCCTGGAAACATACAAGTAATTTAAGTAAGTTATTAATTAATAATAAGACAGGCACAGCAAATTTGAGGATTTTGATTTATATATGTTAAATTTATCTCCCCACATATGACATGACATTGCACAACTTCACATAAACAGAAAGAGAATTTGAAGGATTTTATTTCTGGTGGTAGTCTCTTATAAAAGCAAGTTACATATATTAATTATCGTACCCTAATATGAATTAATGTGGAATATTCAGTGTACCCTCAACTAGTAAACATGTAATTATATAATTACAAAGAGTTGTTAATCAATTAACTTTAAATTCTTAATAAACATAATTTAAAAATGAATTTCTGACCACCAATTAACTACAATATAAAATATGAAATCAACAGAAAAAGAAAGACTATGATGTTGGTGGTTGAGACCTTACTAATCAATATTGAAAAATAACTACATTGAAAAATCAAATAAAATAAAATGTAGACTAATTTGTATTTAATTTTATGAGAAAAAAAAACTAGTCAGTATAATCAAATCGTTCTTGAAGTCAATAAGTTAGTAATATCATATCTTATTGAAGTATTTATAATAAATGCTAAAAAGATAGTAAGAAACAGTTAAAAAACGATTGAATCTAATATTTGTATGGCAAGAGTTTACAAATGGTAACTAAAACATAAATAAAAAACAAAAAACTATCGAAGTTGGATCATGTGAAGTTCCAGCTATATATGAATCGATTATAAAAGAAGAGAAAGCAAAAAGATAATAGATTTTGGTTTTAACGACATAAGCGTGAAATGAAACAAGTCAGAGAAACGTGTCAGTGAAGAACATGAGACCCGACTAATAATAACAAGCTTTTGTCAATTTCTGGAAATTGAAGCACCTTGTCGCTTGAACGGAATATAAAGCATCAATAATTTCACTACAGATCTGACAACAGATCTACCCCTTTTAATTTCTTCCTTTTGAATAGATGTAATCATTTATGACGATGAAGACGACGACGATGAACCTGAATCACCCACAAAAACACACATACAAAACGAATGAATATACAATACAGTGCAAGTTAACCACGCCATTCTTTTCCTTTCTTTCCTCCTATTTCGTCTTTCACATGTAACAAATGAAATGTTATTTTGTTTCATGTGCTTTGTGTCTAACTTAAAGGATTCATATTAATGGTATTTTTGAATCAACAATGCTTATTTTTGTTGTCATAATCCCTAAGAAAATCCAAACTGAAAACATTCACCACACCACAAAGTTGGGAAGACGTGTCGTTTATTAGAGTCTGCTATAACCTAGAGTGTAAAAGACAAAAATCTCCTTCACATTATAGACCAAACAAATTAACCTAAAATAATCACTCTGTAATCTTATCAATATACTAATCCATAAATCTTTTCAGACTCATCATCAACATAACACACAGAAAATGACACTTATATGTTTCTTTTTTCATTAGATCAATGGATCTAAGAAGGAAACTCTAATGAAAAAATGAGTTTATTTTTCAATTCATTAACAATTCAGTGTTGAATATAAAGGAAATATGGTTTGAAATTAAACCCCCTTGTGTATAAATCACACAAGTATTGTTTTATATTGTGATTATCAATATCTTAACAATATCAAACAATATCTAAACAATATCTAACACTATCTTCTATACCTAAGGGTCAATATATTATCACCCAACTTATTCAATTCAAAATTGTAGTTAAAAAAATAGAAAATAACCTTTTAGTTTATATTATTTTAAAATTTAACTAACAAAACTTTATTTTTTATTAAATTAAATTCTACTCTCTAATACTCCTAAGATCCAAAATGCTCTCTAGGTATATGCATCAGCCATGCAATGCAACATAAACAAAATACTTGCAAATCTTAATGAGTCTATTTCAATAACGTACCAAACACTAATTATAGTTTTTCTTATAATTTTCTTTCAAACATAAGTTTTTTAAAATTTCATAAAAAAATAAAAATTATAATTTGTTTAAGTACTATGTAATATAATGATCCTATATTTTATATTTTTCAATTTAAAAAATAATTTATATGAATTAATTTTATTCGTCCTAAATAATAGTGTAAGTAAACTTACGGAAATAAAATTAAGAGCATAAAAAGTTTAAAAAGTTGTTAGTTTAAAATTAAATAAAAAAATCCATAATTAATTATACACTTTATATTAAAGTCTGTTTACTTTTATTATTATGATTCATAAATATATAAGTTTAGGGTTAAAATATAAGAGTTTATATATATATATATATATATATATATATATATATATATATATATATATATATATATATATATATATATATATATATATCAAAATAAGGAACAATTTGGTTTTCATTTATCAAAAGGGCCTACACTCGTCTTTTCAAATCAGGTTAACCAATCCCATTTGGTTCATCCAAATTTCTGTATTTCTATCTTCTTCCACCAACTTATGTATTGGAAAGCGACCTATAAACAAAACACTCATTAAAATAATTGACATGATATGAAATAAAAATTTTGTTTAATATCATAAATGTATTATATTGAAAGTTGAATAGTCACAAAGGACAATCATATATTATGAAAAGGACAAAAAGACGTTAATAATACAATCATTGGTTTATAGGTAGTATATAAAACTTTACAAATTACAAGTATTTTTTTATATAATTAAAAATTTTAATACCAAAAAATTTTATTATAATAAACGCTGCTAGTTCTTAGTTGTAAACTAATAATTCAAATTTTTATTTAAGAGATACTTATATTTATATTTATTATAAAAATTGAGATTAAAGATAATTTATATTTATAAAAGATTATGATTTGATATGTTCATGAGTCTTGTTAAAAGTAATTTATGTATATTTTTTTCTCAATTTATTAAGATATCTTTTAAGGATAATATTGTGATAGATTAAAATAAAATAAAAAAAAATAATATCTAAGATGTGATAATAAACTTTAATGAAGATATCACAATAAATATGAGACTAAGACAATTTCTTATTCTTAGACGGAACATTTAATATCTAATAACATCTTGAAAATAGAAAATATAATTTTCAATAACAAAAAGAAATTAAAGTTTATAGTAAATACTTTTACTATCATCAAAAGTAATAATAAAAAATATTATAAGTATAAAACTTATATTTTGAATTTATAATAAAAATTAAAATATAATATAAAGTTATTTTAATTATTTATTTTTTAAAATATTAAAATTTATTTAAAAATAAAGATAAAGAATGATAGATTTAAGAAAAAAAATCAAATATACAGAAAATAAAAAGATATTAATTGAATCTATCAAACAATTTTTTTCTCAACTAAATTAGAAAGAAGATGACCAGTTAAATTTTGCAATAAATAATTATAGATAATTTTTTACTAAGTAATTATAAATTTTAACATGTTGTATAATTAATGTTCATAACAAGTAAATATATTTAAAATATATAAATTATAAGGTGTGGCATTTGTGAACTCGATAACATGAGTGTGATAGTTCATTTTTTATATAATTACAGAAACCATGAATCTAAATGAAGTATTTTATCTAATCCTTTTATATAACGTTGAATGTTTGTTGGTGACTTCCCTTGCTTCTTTTTTATTAGATGTTGACCATACTTTTATTGGCATGAATCTATCTTCGTGATTTCAAAATTTTCAAAAGCAATACTGTAGAGAGATAGTGAAAGGGAGAAAAATGCAAATAGGATTTTGCCACATTTATGCTTACTCTATAATTGTTTATTTGGAATGACATTTTTTTACATATAATAATTTATATTTCAAATACTTATCTATTATTCTGTTTTGGATGTGTGAAGAAGACCAACCCTTTCTTCTTGTGTGCAGAAAATGTTCACACAAGTCTACTTTTTGTATGTATATATAAAACATGATAATGTATTAATCCAACATTTGTATTTTGAATGGACCAGACAAAATTGGGAGTTATAAAAGTAATTTCTATTTAACAAAGGTGAAACCAATTCTTTACATTTTTCATTTTTTCCTTCTCTTCTTTTCCACATATCATATGACAGTAATCTCTTCCTCATCTTCATAACTAAAAGGTAGTGGTACTGATTTGAATGCTCGATAATTGCCAACATTGTTCAAGTGCTCATTCTCCAACCTGTTCAGTGTTCCCATCAAAACAACCAATCTTATTAACTAAGCACCAACAGCTAAATAACCAATGAGTTTATAATGCAAGGGGTTGCAAAAAATATTCATGATGTGTCATGTATAAACTAACAAATAGAACAATAAACTTCTCAATTAAAAGGTGTCAATTCTTTGAGAAAAAGAGAAAGTGGTTCCTTTGATAACAAATTCTATATCTTTTCATACATGAAATCTGTATGTTAATATGGTATTACATGAATTTCAGCTATTGAGCATTGTGAAGTTTTAGCATTTTCTAGTTTTATTATGCTTTAGTTATCCAATTCAACTTCTCCTAAGGCATCCAAGGTACACCAGGGTTCATGCATAAATCACAGTTTTGTTAGTGCAAGTGCATTAGCATTCAGTCATGAAGCATGACCAAGATCAGCATGCACTTCCATTCACATTCACATTCTGCTACATTGCTAGTAATGCTTTTAAATTAAACACAATACCTGAAAAAATTCCAAATGCCACGGCGAAGGATCTCCAAGCAAGCTACAAGAGCAGTCAAAGCAGTTCTATGCAGGAAAGGAGCTTCCCTGATGCCTAAAACAGATTGCATCCATGCAAGTCGCAGTACAACATTCAACACCTGAAAAGTCATTCATATTTGGAAATTTCAACTATAACCAACACAACAGTGAAGAGACACATACTTGAAACTTAATAATAACTTACCATAGCAGCAAAATATACACTTCTGTTTGGTATGGAGAGTTTTTCTCTCAACCATGGATTTTTTGAATTCCTTCTAAGCAAACCCCAGTCTATGACAACATCCCAATATGTATTAACAATGGTTGCAAGGCTTGAAGAAGTTGCAGCTAGAATTTGCCAAACCATTCCTTTATGGAACTCATTGGTAGTCCTCATGACAAGTGCTACTATTGTTGAGATGTACTTTAGCCCATTGAGACCGTGCATTATATCTCTATCTTCAAGTAAGCGTCGAAAGCACTTCAGATAATAATAAGTATAATGTTAGATTCACTACAATTACAAGAATATGATTAAAAATGGAAAATTTCTAACATACACATCCCTCAATGTGATATGGGATTTTAAACAAACCTAAGAACATACCAAAAAAGAAAGTCCTGGTAAAAATATCTTTCATGAGGGGAGACTTTTGTATCACTTTTTTTGCCACATTTTTTGTTGAAGATAGTCAAATTACACGTTTATAGTCCATATCTTCATCAAGAGTACATTTGGTAATTTTCTCAAAATGAAAAATAAAGTCTACATATAATTTGGTCCCTTAAAGTTTTTATGTGTGCAAATCAAAATCAGTCTTTTTAAGGATGAAATTGTTTATAAGCGACAACTTGGTAGGGTACATTTGTCAGCAAGTTGACACTTCTAGGTACCAACTTGTACAGGGACCAAACAGCAACATAACTTGCCCCTCTTAGGGACCAATTTGTATATGAACTAAACAATTAAGGATGTTTTTTTAAGTCTATCAAGTGCATACCTGGAGACAACGGATCCAGAATGGAATAATAGCTACAATTAAATAAAATGCTCTATAGACATCACTTTCGAGGCACTTGTTTGACCTGGACTTGAAGTTTCCCCAGAAATAGTAGCAGACATAGAATTCCAAACTTCTGTAGGCTTGTACCTGAGCCCAAAAGAAGAGAAGCATTGTCTTGAAAGAAATTTACAGCAAATTGACCACTTAAAATTCTATTATGAGGATCAAAATATGATGAAATAGAACAAATAGATCTTGTGGTTATTTTTTTAAGAATTTTTTATTTGCTAGAAGGAGATTTGAGGTAAGCACAAATGCAAGTTCAAGCAAAAGCTATGCATATTCAGCCTCAAACAAATGAGATTATACATAATGAGTCAAAGTAAAGACCGATGTTAAGATCTAGTATGAGGTACACTTATAAACCTGGCTGGTAAGCTGGTCTGCCAAGAAATTGTCTGGGAGATTGATCTGAAAGCATAAATAATCAAGATTACTTAATGAAATTTGATCATAACAAGGAGAATTGCTTTCTTGGAATTCTCATCCTTTACCTTGTAAAGAGGAGCACAAACACAATGAAATGCACATCGAATAAGGAACAAGCGACTGGATTTATAAATGATGTTGAAGGGACAAAATGTAATGAGAAGCAGAACCTGTGATATAAATTCATTAGCTTAAAGTCATATATGTCCACGGTCCGACAAGAAAGACTATGAAACGGATCTTTTTAAGGAGAATATTGAGTGTCAAAGCACATTAAGATGATTAAGTTCATCAAATGTTTTTATTTTTATCTTTTTAGAACTTACAATGACAAGGCCTAAAGGGACTAATTCTGTGAATGCTGAGAAACTTTTTGTTCTCTGATCCATCTCCATATCCAAGTTTGACAGGACTGCAGCCAATGAGAGTACTGCAAGGCCGGAGCTAAGAAGAAAGACTTCTCTATATCCCAATTCTGTTCCTTTCTGGAAGCCAAATATAAAGGGGTAGTTGATTTTATAACGCCTCCAGAAGTATACATTTGCAGAGTACATGATCATATGCAAGACTATGTATCCAAAGAGGCTGCAAAAAATTTGAAGTTCGTTAACCATGTTTCTCGATATCATTCTGCCAAAAGGGGTATACAGAATAGTGGAATACCATCTAAGAACTTGAAATCATTGTGGAAAATCAAAATGTGCGGTTGCTCAACCATACTACAGAAATATCCATACACAGAGCTATGCAACTGCGTAATTCAAATTCAAATGAATATTAATTACCTATAAAGAGGAAATATGTTGTCCATATATCTAGTACGTCCCTCGCTATATAAAATATTTCTTGCATGTATGAGTATAATAAGAGCCACAATGAGGGCAATTGAGCATCCAGTAAATAACCCTGATATATGATACAGTATGTGTGAGTGAGAAATTAAACTGAAAACGGTTTACTATCTCTAATCATTGTATTGAGGCATATTGCACGAATAGAAATTCCGTTGAGCATAATCAAATCAAAGGTTGTATACCTGAGAACTTCTGCGTTTAAACTTTTTACATGAACAAAAACTAATTAATATTATTACTGCATATCCATTTCAGTTTCTGTTTGTGCTGCACCTTGATTATTGTTCAATGTCCACCATAATACAAAAAATGCACCTCAAGATTTGAAACAATAATATAAAATTGAACCGCTTCTTGGTCCTCTTACCCAGTAAGAATGTGATCCTATGTCTCTCCTTCTTAATAGTTGGTCTCAATGTGTTCATTCCTTTCCTGTGATTCCCATTTGCAAAGTGCTTAATGAAGGCATGTTCAACCCTTTCCATGAGCCTATTAACCTGTACAAGGCAGGATTTTAGGTTCAAAAGACAAATTTTGTTTAATTGAAAGAATATAAAAGAATATGATTTTAGGATAGAACCTCATCTGAGCTGCCAACATATGAACTGTCCACCATCTTTAAATAATCCTTTGATGCATTCCTTGAACTGACCTGCAATGGTATTAGTCAGACAATCCCACACTTAAAATATTACAACCAATGATTCTCACTCAAATCATATAGGAGACCTTGTCATATTTCTTCATGATTTTGGAGAATGCCAACAAGTTTAAGAAACTGCATACCAATCAAGAATAGAGTTTAGCATTGTAAAACATGATCCAGCTCTTTTCAGTTTACACTATTAAGTTAATAAAGGAAGGGGGAAACTAATTCACCTATAGCTTTTTAGAAGTCGAAGCTTGTGATAGAATTCCTTTAAGGCTATGCTTATTTGTTCCTCCGCTTTCGTGAGCTCTTTCCTGCTAAATGATTGGTTAGGTTTTGAACTCGGGAGAAGCCCTTTTATGGTTGATATAGGAGAATCTGCTGTGGTCATGTTGATCTTCACACGATCAAGGATCTCCATCGAAGCTGGTCTAAAGCCTTCTTCCGAAGTCTTAGAAGTGGCTTGTACCTCGCAGTTTCCACTTTCATTTTCCAAATGCCTTTCATTGCTCAATTCAATTTCATGAATCACATCCATGTGCACACGTGAGTGACCTTCAAAATGTTATAGACCCGTTAGATTGTAGCTCTTCAACATAAAAATGGCATATAAATTTCATTATGCATGCTCATTGTATTAACCAAAAGAACATCCTTAATCATTATCATATTTCTTCATCTACTGCGATGAAGAAAAGATGCAAAACAAAGAACATGGTGTGATTTACCAGGTCTGGCATCATTTATATGACCATTCAGGGAAATTGAATTTGAGCTCCCATTGCTAGCAACATTGCTGAACCTCACCTTATCCACCTTGATTCTGAGAACAATCAAAGCATTCATTTGCTTACTTAACTCCTCTGCCTCCTCAACCATCTTCTTCACCATTTTCTTGTAGAAGTTATTGACCTTGTTAAACTCACGATCGAGTTTCTTGAAAAATACAAGATCTTGCTCTGCCCCTTCTTCAGAAGGCTTGAGGAACATGGTCTGGTACAACCCTTCTGAACCTTCACCCTCCTCAGCTCGAACAAGTATAACTTCATCCTCACTCTTCCTAGGAGACTCTCTTTGTCTACCAGTAAGACCACTAAAGGCTCTATAGAGGGTTAACCTTCTCTTCAATGACCCTTTCGGGGTGAATGCCATTGCTGCCGACTCGTTTAACTCCCTAAACCTTGACATGTGTTTCAGAGTGGCTTTGAGAGAGTTGTAGTCCATGTATGCTTCTTCCCATTCTACCACCATTTGTGAGACAAATTCTTTTCCAAACTTCATTTTTTTTCCTGTGAGAAATTTGTTGTTCTGCCCAAATCAACACAAAGTAAAGAAGCTTACAGAAACATCACTTCTGGAGCTGCAATGAACATAGGTTGGACAAAAATACAACTATAACTGTTTCCCTTGAATCCATAAAGCACTAGAAATTAAACAAAAAACCAAAGTCGGTAAGAAATATAATAGAGAACAACCACCAGGAACGCGTAAATTATAGTGTATCAAATAATATATAGTTATTTGGAAGTAGAATTTCATCGTCTATAATAATTTTATTTGTTTCGAAAATAATTATGTCCCATAAAAAATATTAATGTTCTTAAATAAAAAAAAATTGAGATATATAATTTATTTTTGTCTCTTGTTATATTACATACTTATGTTTTTTTTTCAGATCGGGATTAGCATATCCTTCCAACTTTCCTAACTAATTCAATTATTCCATTTAAAGTTATGATTTTTTTTGGTTTGTTTGTATTGATTAATGTGTCATTGTGAACAAAAAGAATCTGCATGATATGGCCTGCAATCACGGCGTGTACTTTTTTAACTTGTATTTCCATGAATTAATACGTCAAAGCAAATGAAAACTTGATGATCACTTAAGAAGAAAATTGACTTTGAATTCATCTATCAATTCTCTTTTTAGGGTTTAGTTCTTTCCATGATGTGTGATTAATCTTTAAGACCATAATTTTTTATTTGTTTACAGAACACGATATAAAACATAACTTGTTTGGACTTTATGTTAGTTGTGACAAAACAACGCTGTGATTGTTCACTAAGAAACAAAGTCTTGGCTGTTCACAACCTAAAGTGGAAATTGTTGTGGTTGTTTCAATAGTGGCAGAAGCTTTAAGTGTACGTAAGAGTGTGTTGAAGTGGGACCAACATCACCACCATCTTCCGCGTTTACTTTACAGATATTGCACCGATCGTGAAAACGTGTTAGGATCAACATGATTATTCAAACGTGCTTCTGAGACTTTTAATACGAAAATGAATCATGTAATGTTAACACTATTGTTTATTTAAATAGAACACATTGATCAGATGTAAGTCTTCTTCGCCCATTGCAAATATGTCCAAATACACAATTGTTTTCTTAGGTAATGGGTATTTAATTTCATCAACCTAATGTTTATGGCAAATATCATATATTTTCTTATATAGCGTGTAATTAATGTAATATTTATAGAATTAAATAAATCATTTTTTTTCATAATTCGTGTGTGGGGGGTGAATATATTAATATAGTATGCATAAAAACAATTTTTATAAAATGGAATCAAATTATATAAATATAACTCTTTTTAAAATATTTTAGCATTTTTTGTAAGAATATATTTTTTCAAAATTCACGATAATATTTACAAACTTGAATGAAGAATTATAAATACATAATTAGATGAAAATAAGATTATAAGTAAAAGTTGAATTCAGCAATTGGTTGCAATCACTGTAACAGTATAGTATTGAAAGTTTTGAAGCAATGGATTCGTATTTTTAAGTCAATATATTAAGAGATTAAACATATAAATAAGACAGTATTAGTTTATAGATTTTATTTATTTTATTTTTTAAAAATACATAGGAAAATTTTATCCATACATATACATTATCCTAACCAATTGTACTTTTTTATTTTATTTCTCAAAATCAGTTGGTTCCGTGGGCATAAGGAAGTTTCTTATTAAAAGTTTTCGTGCAATTATATTTACAGTTATAAAAAAGCAAAGTAGTTTCCTTTGGGATTATTAAAATGTCATTATATACCATAATTACATTGGCTAATACACAGGGATGTTTTTTTTTTTTTTTTTGCATTTAGGTATAGGGGATTTAAACTTCAACTTCAATGCCAATTTTAATAACATAATAATGTAAAAATACAAATTGCTAGTTAATATGATTTTAGTGGGGATTTTTATTATGAAATTTAATTAATCTATTTATTTATTTTCGAAAATAGGGATTTAAAAAATTATAAAAAATAAGTGATTATATATATATATATATATATATATATATATATATATATATATATATTAAATTTCCTCTAATTTTGTATATGTGAATATGACTCAAGATTTAAATACGTGTAAGATTAAATTTAGTTGTTGTACTAATCTCTAATTAAACTAAACTGATAATTATTCATATAGTCAATCAATATAATCAACTTATACAATATTCTACATTTAAATTACTATGAGAAAGTAAAATAAATACAATTTAAACTTTTGCATCTTTTTTTTAGGGTTTAGGGTTATTAATTTTCGTCTCTTTATTGTTATTATAATTTTCATTAATTTAATATTAATGGCATTAAATATATATTTTAGTTTTTATATATGTTGATGTTTTTTATTGTAAGAACATTCTTAATTTTATTTTTATAAATATCATTTATTTTTAATTTCATATTAAATAAGGATTAAGTTAAAAATCCATAACGAGTTATATATCTATGGCAGGAAACTAATAATGTCTGCATGCATATAAATTGATTTAATATATATTAATACAAATAAATTAAATTGAAAATTCATAATATAAAGACTAAATTATATGTTTAATCTTTTTGTAATTTCTTCTATTTAACATTTGAAAAAGATTATTGTTAACTTATATTAATTTTTTATATATAATGCTTTCTATCACATTTATTACTTGCTATTTAAAATAAATATATATCTTCTCCATTCGTTCTATCCGGCCCAAAATGGAACAAACATTAGGTAATTAAAGTTATGTATCCCCAGGACCACTTTACACGAACATAGAATTTTCTCTTCCAAATTCTTAACATGCTTCTTTTAAAAAGAAAAAAAATTCTATATCTAGGTTTTGTTTAATGAATTTCCACAAATAAAAATACAATAATAATAAAAAAATATCTATAATGAAATAAAATAAAATAAACTAAACATCTCTAATAAATTAAAAAATACTTTTTGAACAGATTAAAATCACTTGTTCTGGAAATATGAAATTATTTAACTGTTTTAGAAAGTTTATTTTCATTTTGACATGTTTTCTTCTCTCATGGGAGAAGTTCATTTTAGTCTTTGAATTTTTATCAATCAATTGCTGTGATAGTTTCTTCTATACGGTAAAGTAATAAGGAGGAGGCAAATAGTGAATGATTGATCTTATAAAGTGTAATAATATATATAATTAAAGCACCATAAATTTTTACATTCTATTCAATGTAACTGATGATACAGTATAATTACTTTCAGTATAATTACATTCTATTCTAATGAATATATTAGAAGAACTGAAGGTTTTTTCTAGAGAGAACAAACACAACACACATGCATTCCTAGGTCAAGAAAAAAGTGCTCCAAGTTTCACCTTCTGTAAAAAAGTCAGAAGCAATTGAACCAAGTTCTTCATCCCGAAGCATAAACACTCCATTTTCCCCACCAAAGAAGCATGTCTTGTTGTTAACTGCAATATTTCCTTCCTTTTCATCTAACAAAGTTTCCCACCAATTCCCAGACCCTGATGAAGAAGTTGCACCTTCACCAACACCATCTTTGAAACTATTTATAGATTTCTCCTGCAATAACTTGGGACATGTTTTTGATAAAGCTTGAGGTAAAGGCTTTATAACTTCATGGGGTTTCAATGTTGATTCTGTGTCATGCTGTTTTACGTTGTTATCTTTGTTGTGAGACTGTAATTTACGTCGTGTGTAGGTGCTCCAGTAATTCTTCACATCGTTTGAAGTTCTTCCAGGAAGCCTTCCTGCAATCAGAGACCACCTACATTCACAAACAACTTATGTCTTGTTATGACTTCAACTTCATTTTAAATGCATCTTTTAAAGTAATTCCTAGGTAACCCTACAATGTTGTCATAAATAGCAATCTAGTTTAATAACAACTTTTATGCTGTCATTGTCAAGCAAATATATATAAAAACAAATTTATGCCACCAGCATAATTTTTTTTAATACATTCTAACATAAATTTCATGGTTGGATTTTTATTAAAATCTCATAAACTATAAGAGATAACTAGTTACTACATAAATTTGTTTTGAAAAAATGTCTTTGAGAGAATATATTGATAGTGTGTATCCAAAAAGAATTGTTTGTTTGTTTGGTCTTCTTTGAATCTCTGAATAACTCTTTTACATCATCGTATACAAGTCAACTTACTTTTTGAAAACACGTCTAAAGAAACCTGCTTTTTGAATCATGCACATTTAAAAACTTCAAATATATGTCATATTTCTGAAGAGGTATCACTACAAAAATCAGTATGATTTAATGAATAGAACACAAATATATATACAAACCTGTTTCCCAAAAGCTTATGCAATCTGATAATCAAATCAACCTCATCCTCACTAAAATCTCCTCGTTTGATATTTGGTTTTAAATAGTTCAACCATCTCAATCTACAACTCTTCCTGCATCTCTTCAATCCTTCACACCAAACACAACAACATGTAACTCATTTATCTACCACAACTCAATTATGAGCATGTCTCAGTTATATACATAATTAGTCATTGCCAACTACAAGAAATGAAGAAAACAAAACAAGCTAAAATAAAAAATATACATAGAATAGTTCACATGCTCTTTTAGGAACAAGGTGCCATTTTCCTTCCCCATAATCTTGCACGCAAGTTTTGAGAAGTTCATCTTCAAATTTACTCCATGCACTTTTCCTTACACCAGATGATCCTTCCATTGCTTTCAATATAGCCATGATTAACTATAAATGAGCTTAGTTTCACTACATATATAATTGTTCAGTTTAATATATTTCAATTCCTTCATCTCTTTTAAATAAGTACCATTAGCTAGGATATTCATCCAGACACACGTATCTAACAATTTATGGTGAAAACGTACACTGGTGTACTCGCCTATTGTCAAAACCACCTATTCAGAACTTGTTACAGAGTTTCATGCACACTTAAAGACATCCCAAATAAGTTCACCCTTTTTATTCATTAGTTATTTGCTGCACTAAATAGTAATGGTCATTACATTTAATGTTTTACAGTAATGGTAAATTTAATCAATGTTCCTGAGATCAATTAATTTGGTGAATGGACCAATGTCTAGTAGTGTTGATCAATATTAATGCCAAAGACCTATCTTCCAAATTTATCTAATCTTATGATTAATTGAACGATTGCATGGACATTAGATGTTGTAGATAACTGCGATTAGGATGAAATGAAAAGAGACGTGGAAGAAGAAGATCCAGATTGTAAAACTATATACAAGATATTGTACTGTCTTATGGGGAACCAACTTTTTTCTTTTTCTGTTTTCGATAATTTGACATTATATTATAGGTATGGAGTTTTAATCCAAAATAAATATTGTACTCAATATATAAATTGATTTTGAAGTAGAAAATGAATATTGAACACTGCATATCGTCTACATAAGTAACTTTAAGACCTTTTAAGTCACACTTCTTAGAAAATTTCCCTGGGTAAGTCTTTTGCACGAATATTTTTAATCTCTTTAACGTTATTTTTATTTTATGTTTTATTGTTTCTCTTCTCCAAAAAATTTCTTCATTCCCTACTACTACTGAGCATAACCTTTGTGACGTTAAAAGTCCACTTCTTTCCAAGAACAACATAACATTATATAAGTGTCAAACTTAGTTCATTTAAATGTAAAAGCAGTAATTATTTTATAGCTCTTACATATATCATGTTTCAAAACGCATATACCAAAATTATATAATCAATTTAATCTAATATTTATTTAGTTTTATACAGATTCTGTGTTTTTTATATAATTATTGTTTTTTCAAAAAATAGAGTCCAAAGAATATTCAAACTCATCTACAATAAACTTAAAAACTATTAAACAAAAATACAGGGTCAATATAATAGAATAAGAGTTTGTTAATGTTTCAAGGAATTTTTTTAGGTTTACAATTACTATATTTTGTTTGAAGAGACAGATTGTGTTGTATAAAGTGGTATTATATAAATAATGAACTGAAAATATTTATATTGTTAACAGGATAAACCTTGAAATTATGAGCTATATTAACAGGAAGTATGATCTGATAACTTGGTAATTACTAGTCATCAAGTATAACTTTTGTTCTTTGGTGTAGTTGTTGTCACCTTTTTTCGGAGACTCGCTATGCTTCATTTGGATGCAGGAAGACAAAAAAAAAAAAAAAAAAAAATATATATATATATATATATATATATATATATATATATAGTGAATTTCAGTATGTCTAATTATTATTTGGAGCCCTTTAATGTTTTATTGATTCTATAATTTCAACTGATTAGATGACCATGTCATATTAAAACTAACATTGTGTCTAGTGTGCAGTACAATGACTCTCATGTAGTTAAAATTCTCCAAAAATACATCTTAAGGTAAACTATTGTAAAATATGAAGGTAGAAACATCAAAAGAGTGGCACAAAACAAACAATCTTAAACATCACGGGGTCTATAACAAGGATATATACCTTGTTAAAATCAAATAAGATAAACTCTGAAGTAAAATACATCTTCAGTTATGCATGCAATCGCACACAAAAATATCTGAACAAAACAAAATTAAAATTGTGCTACTACAGTTTTTTTTAGAAGAAAAATCACTTACAGTGTTACACCCTCCATGATAAACAAGGTTCCGTTTGCTCTCCAGATAAAGTTGCATGCGTGGTTCATCTTCAAATTTACTCTCTATGCATCTTTCCTTGGAGCTGAGAATCCTTCCATGAGATCAGGTGCTTAGTTTTACTACAATTTTTTCAGTTGTACATATCTCCATTTCATCAGCTGTTTAAAGAAAGTAGCATTAGATTGCAGATAATATATGAGATACACGTATCTAACAATTTAAGGAGAAAACGTATATCAGTTTATTGTCAAAACCACCAATCTACACCCTGTCCTGACTCTGTTTAGGGAGTTATTTATCTAATAAAATGGTAATTAATGGTACATTACATTTAATGCTAAAGGTTATGGTATGTTACTGAATATTAGTTAAGTTTTTGGGACCAATGTATGTTAATATTGACCATTTTTTATCCAATTACCAAGTCTTCCAAAATATTGATTAATGATTAATTGACCAATCTTCATGGACCATATGATGTAGTATATATAGCTGCTATTTGGATGAAAAGAGAGGTAGCTGAAGTAGATCCATATTACATACATATAAGATGTTATACTGACTTGTTGGTAACTAACTCTTCTTTTTTAAGGAGTGTTTTCTTTGGCCTGTGCCTGTTGATTTGACATTATAGGTGTAAAACTTTGAATCAAAATATATTTTGTACTTTATGTAAAGTGATGTATGAAGAGGAAAATGAATGTTTAACACTACTTAACATCATGACAGTATGCTTTTCTTTTCATATTTTGTTTTCTTTATGATGAGCAAACTAACTTTATTACTCACAAGATGTGTCAAATGGCAATAACTAACTGTGCTATGATAGCTATAGCCTTGTAGTATTGATGTTTGAAACATTTTCATCTACATGTCCTAACAAATTGCCCTTGGGTGAGTGTTTGCATGAGTTTTTGTGCCCTTCAGTTGAAAGCTCTTTATTTATTTTTTTTTAATGTCAGAGAAAAGGAAGATAGCAATTGTATGTTTTACTTTTAGTTAGAGAGAAAGTGGGAAAAAAATACTATTTAAAATAAATTTTCAATTTTTTTTTTACTCTATTTAGGCTTTAGATGTTTCTCTTCTGGTTTTCTTTACACCCTATACCATACATAATCATGTCAGCGTTTTAAAAAAATTCATTTCCAATAACTTTTGTTAGCAAGTGTAATAGTGGTTTCAAGTTTAAAGGAAAATATGAAAACAAAAATTCTTTTATAGCTCTTACATCATGTGGCAAAACACAAATAAGCTAAAATATTGATTGATCTTATTGAAAGTGTAATAAAACATAATTAAAGATATTGTTTTACATTCTATATAAGCGATGAGATATTAATTATACATTCACACATACAAAGTAAATAATTAATATCTTAGAACTTGAGTTGGATATCCTCGTGAAAACAAACACAACACATGACTAATCTGATAGGTTAATTAAGAAAACATTTGCTCCAAGTTCCACCTTCTGTAAGAAAGTCAGAAGCTACTGAACCAAGCTCTTCATCCCAAAGCTCAAACACTCCATCTTCCCCACCAAGGAAACATGTCTTTTTGTTAACTGCAATATTCTCTTCCTTCTCATCTAACAGAGTTTCCCACCAATTCCCAGACCCTGATGAAGATATTGCACCTTCTTCACTAACACCAACTTTGAAACTATTTATAGATTTCTCCTGCAACTTGGGGCATGTTTTTGATAAAGCTCTAGGTAAAGGCTTTATAACTTCATGAGGTTTCAATGTTGATTCTGTGTCATGCTGCTTTACGTTGTTATCTTTGTTGTGAGATTGTAATTTACGTCGTGTATAGGTGCTCCAGTAATTCTTCACATCATTTGAAGTTCTTCCAGGAAGTCTTCCTGCAATCAGAGACCACCTATATATATTCACAAACAATTTATGTCATGTTAGGACTTTAATTTCATTTAAAAATACATCTTTTGAAGTAATACCTAAGTAACTCTACAATGTTGCCATAAATAGCAATCCAATTAAATAACAATGGATAAAACCTTCATGGTTCAGTGACAAACTAGTTATGAAAAAGCATTGCTATAACAGTAAAGTTAATTAATCACTGTGTATTGTGAGTTTATAACAGTAAAGTCTTTCTGCAAGGACCACCTACATTGACCAATAATTTTTTGTTTAATGGTATGTATTGAAAAATGAAAGGTCAATTAATTACTATATTGTGTGAGTTTAATGAAATGGTTTAATTTTTTCATTTAGTGTAGGTCTAAAAAGTCTAAATAACTTGTTTTGTTTGAATGTCTTGTCTAAATAGGATTTGTAATATTAATGGTACGTTGTAATGCAAACAGGTGAGTTAATATTTTTGTAAAATTCATTTGTAATATTTTTAATGTTTTTCAAATTAATTATATTTTTAAATTTTAAATTAGTCATTTTTCTCTTTAATCAAAATAATCAATCTAGAATTATTAAAAATAGAAAGTAAGAGTATTATTGCCTTGGTATTCCACTGTTAGCATAGAGCCAATAAATACATTTTGAACTCCTTGATGTGACAACTCTGCCACTCCCTCATTTTTTGTTAATAATAGAAAGTGAGCTAAAAATAACATTTTCAAATCAGATTATGTTACTTGATGGTTGGTCACTAATTAGTGAATTAATAATTGGAACCAGAAAATTAGTATTCAATAATTTTTTTAACTCGTGTTTTTGAAATAGTTGGAAACACAAAAGAAGAAAAAAATGGTGTGTTTTGATAAATATTATAGCCGTAAAAATAAATTATAGTAAACCTTTCATTCAATACTTAATCTATCTTCATAAAATTTACTCAATATGTAGATCTTCGCTCATATATACACTTAGATCGAAAGCATGTTGAAACTTCAGAATAAAAAATTAAAGAGAGAGAAAATCGTGATAAAATGATGAAATATTTATAAATATTTCAAATTTTAGTTGTGAATCTTCTATAATATTTGTAAGTTTGATTGATGGAAAAAAAAATCAACACATAACATTTAATTCTTAAATCAATTTAAAGAGAATATTCACAAACTTTTATTAAAAAATAAAACTATTTATAATTTTTAGAATAATAGCATTATTTTATGAAAGAAAAAAATTTTACACGATAACATTCATAAATTATGTAATAGATATTGTAAAAATTATATAATTTGTAATTGATTGCAACTATAAAAATGTTTACACGGAAATTATATGATTTGTTTGTTCGAGATATAAGAATAAACTACTATTAATTAACTATAAGAGTTAATTATATTTCAATTTCTGTTTTATTTTAATCTTTATATTAAAAATAAATAATTTTAATAATCTCAATTTTGTAAAATATGATTTTAATTATTAAATACTGGAAATATTAAAAAAACTCATTTTAATCTCTTAAATTTATTCAGAATTTTTTTTTCAATTTTAAGAACTCAAAATAAACTTAAGGTATTACTAAAATTTATGGAAATAAAAATATAATTAAACTTAAAAATAATACGTGGAATAGAAACTCTAAGGGTTTAGTGTTACTTATATAAAGCACCACGTGTTACATTGCAGAGCCAAAGCCCTAATTTAGGTCAGCGTGGAGATTTAAGGGTTTTTGGTTTTAGCAGCTTCACACACCTCAGAAGAAGAGAAGAGAACAGAACCACCACAGTGCTTGTCAAGGCTGGTAAGAGCTCAAGTTCACTACTTTCTTTCCTCCCATTTCTCCTAGGTCCATCAATATTTCTCTTTTATTCTCCGAAAATCTGTTTTCTTTTTTGAGCTTCAGGATTTAGGGTTTAGGTTTGTAGCAGTTTCCTATTTTTCTCCTTGGTTATGCTTTACACTGTGCAATATTTAATTTTTACGATCCACAAGACGTCTTTTTTGTTTAAAACACAAGCGGGTGTTCTCAATTTTTTTATATTAGTTCATTGGCTTACGAGCTTCTTTACTCAGAAGTTTGTGGTATGTCTGTTGCACATATGAACATGTATTCAGGATACATTGAGTTCTTGACGATGCAGTGTCTTTCTAGTGTGGCAAATTTTCGGGTGTGAAAGGCTATATAACATGTTTGTAGTTTGAACTGGGAACGAATTGCTTCTATTAATGATGCTGAAAACAATCATTCCCGAATCCATTACTACTATGAGATCATCGTTAAGTGGTGATACACTGTTTTCCCACTTGGGAGCCGATCTCAAGTCTTTCTATCTAGCGGATTGAACCAGGAACGCCTCGGACTTGATGCTGTGGATTTCAACCACATGTCCACAACCTTTATTTTTTAGCTGTGGCTAATGATGAAATGCATTGCAATTGCATATATGATTATTTTTAGTATGTAAGAATGTGACCTGGGGGTTTGGAACGTTGTATGCTAATTAGCATAAGTTACAATGATCAATTAACATACTGTATAAACCTTATGTCCTGTTGTATTTTTGTAGGTTTGAAAAATGGCGTTCTTAAATAAAATTGGAAATCTACTCAAGAATTCTGCTGTCAAGCACATGAATCAAGATTTTTCTGTGTCTAGCCCTTCACTTTGGCAAGCAATTAGATCCATGTCATCTGCAAAGCTTTTTGTCGGAGGTACCTTAGCTGATCATGATGTATATTTTCAGAATGGAACATAGCTACAGTTTTTCAATTTTCATTGCAGGAATTTCTTATAGCACTGATGATATGAGTCTGCGGGAAGCTTTTGCTCGCTATGGAGAAGTAATTGATGGTATTTTTCTGACACACACGCTAGTTTTTTATTATTTCAGGTAGAGGTAATCATGCTTGCGAAAAAGGAAAATTCAATTATAAACTCTTTTCTCCCCTAAATTTCAGTGGTCCGAAGAATCCAATATGACAGTCATAGAGTGGCTACCTCTTTTGTTTTGATAAAAATAAAGGCTACTCATTGATAGTTATGTACATATGTCATTATTTCTTTTTGTGGACACATTTTACTCTGTTCCTCTGTTTTCCTAGAACGAATTTCACAGTTGTATCTGTTGCTGATGATAGAGTGGTTTAATAATAGCCACCATTTGTATTATGTGACAAACTGTGAGTAACAATCAAATGTTACCACAACAAGGATTAACAAATGTGTTTGCCAAGCATACATGTTTCATAATATGATACTTATTGGTTTCAGCACTGAAACTGTCTGTTTTGGATATTCTTGCAGTCAATGTTATTATGGATCGTGAAACTGGCAGATCAAGAGGTTTTGCCTTCATAACCTTTGCAACAAGTGAGGATGCATCTTCTGCCATTCAGGCCTTGGATGGCCAGGTATTATCTGTTGTCCGTGCTAACTTTTAAATATGACATTCATGACACTTTCACATGGTAAGCATGTTATGTACTGATGTAATTAAATATGACATTATTGACACTTTGGCATGGTAAGAATGTTGTTATATACTTATGAAATTATATATCTATAGACCAAGAAATTATAAAGTTGTTTTGATATTATTTATGAAGTAGTGAAAACCTTAGCATACCTGGAATAAGGTAGACATGCTGAACGGAAAGATATCATTTTTGTTGCATGTGCAAGTAGCTTGAAAGTTCAGATTCAGAGCTTCAAGCGCTCGATAAAGCATTTATTCTGTAATATTTGAGGCTTGTTGAATTGAGTGTAAATAGCTGATGCCTACATACATAATAGTTTGGTATCAAGAATGCTTTGCACTAAACAATCTCTATTACATGTTTTATTTATTTCTGGAGTCAGTTTAAAAATAAACCAAACATATACTCACAATATGGAATTAGATTTCAAAACCAAGATTGAAAATTTGAAAGATACAAGTTTTATTAAATTATTTTACCAATAAATCTTCTCTATTTAAAATAGAGAAGGAATAAGATGCAATTCTTCTTGACAGTTGGATTAGAATTTAGGATTGATTAATTGTTCGTGTTAGTTTCAGTAGATTAATCATGATGTCTGCAAACTAAATAAGATTAGCAATGTTCTTTGGTATCTCTAATTGTTATGTTACAGGATCTTCATGGTCGGAGAATTCGGGTGAATTATGCTACAGAAAGATCACGACCAGGGTTTGGTGGCGGTGGTGGATATGGTGGAGGTGGGTATGGGGGTGGTGGTGGTGGATATGGTGGAGGTGGTGGTTATGGAGGTAATGCCAACAGGGGTGGAAGCTATGGAGGTGGTGGTCATGGTGTTACAAGCAGCTATGGCGGTGGCAATGCTGAAACTAGTTACACTGGTGGTGCTGATGCTAGTAATTACCAATTCGGTGGAAATTCTGGTGGAGATCTTGGCCCAGCTAGCGGTGAATTCGGAAGCAACCAATGTGATGGAGCAGGCGCAGCCGACATTGATGAATTCATAGAGCCACAGGAAGACAAGGTGAGGGGAAACAGTGATGAACCTGATGGCTATGCTCAGAGCAAGTAAACGTGTTACCGATTGCTTGTTTTACTTGTTGATTTTCAGCAGTTCATTGTTTGGTTTGAACAACATGGTTTGTCGGCTCAAGGAGGACTGATAAAATAAGATTTTAGCAGTTCATAGAATGATTTTTATTTTTCAGCCATTCAGTACCTGGAATGATATACTTATGTAGCCCATAATTCCATAATATTAAATCAAATGTTCAAAGATTGGAAAGCGGGAGTTAAGGTGTAAGCAATTAGGTGAAAACAGGGACAAATGAGGTAGATCTCGATATTTGTGAAAAGGGACACGGTGAGCGTTAAATAATATATTATTAATAAATAATATATTATTAATAAATAATATATTATTAATAAATAATATATTATTAATAAATAATAAATAAATATAAATAATAAATAATAAATAAATATAAAAAAATAGATGAAAAAGTAAAATAATAAAATTGTAAATATATAAATAAATATTTAAATATATTAATTGATTATAAAGTTTAAGAAAATAAAATTATAAATTATATAAAAGTTAAATAAAGAAAAAGTGAAAAAGATATAATTATAAATATATAAGGAAATATATTAAATGTTTATTAAATTTAAAAATAAAATTGTAAAGATTTTTACCAAGAAGATGTGACACATAGAAGATGTGTGACATGTGTCAGATTCTTTGCATCAAGAAATGAGAAGAAGCTCTACGGCTTAAATAACAAACAAGTGGTATTTAAATTCTGTAAAGGACCTAAAGAGAGTGGATAAGAAATGATGGAGGAATTTTGCTATTTAGAACCTTTTGCCATTCTGTTGGAAATTATTCTATAATTCGATTATCTTTGTTCTCCTGCAATCACCATCTCAGCTTTTCAATCATAATAATACAGTGAAAGAATACAAATTCATAGAGGATTTCTTTTTCGATAATATTTGTTGTATTTGCTTGTCTATATACTCTTCTTCACCCTCGTGTACATTACAGAAGGCAACAACAATAATCTTGTTCGCAGCACTTCAAATACACGTTCTTTCTTCATCCAAGTCCATTAGTTGCATCAGGTGAATCTGTTTGCACCAATGGAAATTTATGTTAGAATGCCATCTAATGGGCAGCCACAACGATTTTAAATTAATTTAATAAACAAATGCATGCCACTTTCACATATAATTCAATCCCAATACATAGAATTAAAAATCTTGTTCATTTATTAGAGCAATTTAAATTTTCTCAAACTGGTCTCCAATTTGGTTCATAATTATAAATCAATTTTGGAAAATTGAGTCAAACGTCTTGAAGATGTCAAAACAAAAATGTATCAGTGGAGTTTAAGTGAAGATATTCTGATAATTTTTTTAGTTTAAGAATATCTAGTCAGCATTAATTTAAAGATGCTCAAGTTGAAGTTGGAGAAAAAAATATTTGATCAAATTTAACATAAAATGGTACTATTAAAACTAAAGTGGATGAGGAGAATTCAATTAAGATTGAATAAAAAATCATCAAGATGTCTAAATGAAAATATTGAATCCATGAAAATTTAAATAAAAATAAATTGAGGATGATTTGAATGAAGTCGAATAAATAATAACCCATTAAGGATGAAAAATGGTAAGAGCATAAATAAAACAGCAATAAGAGCAGGGCACTCACTGATTGGTATGAAAATGGTAACCCGTGGAAAAAAAGCTTTTCTGCAATTGCCTCTTCAATCTAACCTAATAAGCACAGTTTCATCATCAACCAGGATGAATAAATAAAGGGTTATAACGAGAAAAACTGTCCCTAATCAATCATCGCTACTTTAGTGGCGGACTAAACAACTAGAGAGACTATCAGTGTACATGCATACTCAAACAGGGACAAAAAATTACAACATTCGATTTGCTCTCACGAAGCATGAGAGTGAGAAATTACAACCTTGAAAATGCTATTCAAGAACTACTATTTCGCTCCCAAATTCATGCTAAGGGCTTCCATTCCACCCGCGTATAAGAGTACATAACAGCAACCAGCAAGAATTAGTCCCAACCCAGACAAATAATATTTACACATCTTATCTAATATGCACTTTGTAGCTCATAAAGCCCAGAAAGGCTTTTGAATCCCAATTGCTCGGGTGCCATGAGGAAGTGATTCCTCACTAGAATCGTCTAGATCATCGTCATCCTCCTCTCCGTATTCCATTAGCTTGACCAAAGTATCTGAAATAAGTTCAAGTTACATAAAAACAGTGTAAAGATGGCTAATAAAAAGACGACATTGTCAAGTAAAATTTCAGGGTCAGACAAAACAAAACAAAAATTATCCATAGAGAAAGAATGGAATTTCAGAAGCAGTAATGACCCAAATATGTAAAAACATGCTTAATTCTAACCTGGAACTACGTCAGATTTTTTCTTAAGCAAATTCTTGTTCTTGTCTTGTGCTTTAACTTCAGATGGATCAGAAAACTTAGGCGGAGGTGGTGGGGGCATAGTTCTCGGTAGAGATGCTGGCATTCCGTTGGACGATGGCTGGACCAACTTCTTAGGGGCAGGCATAGTTGATATATTCCTTAAAGCAGGACCATCAGATTGTTCATTTGGTTTTAGAGGTTGCAATCCCTGCAATCGAGTTAGAGTGGGAGAAAACCAAAACCCAAACACAACTTTTGAATCAGATACTTTACTAATTGTTCCAAAACGCCAGACTACTAAGCCAAAATAAGACAATGAACCGCATACGAGAAAGAAAAAAACAAACAAAACACAAAAAACATCGTGCAACAATATATGGTAGGATAAACAAGCAATGACAACTAGTGTACCATTCTAAAATTATCTACTGATCCAAACAATAACAGAAAGCAGGAAACTACAAAAGCAAGCCAGATTATGTAAATGGTTAAATAATATTAAGATGGGTATATATTTTTTTATTGCCATGCTCAATAATGTTATAACAGTAAATATGCAGCTCCTCAATTTTTCCTGATAAAAGGGTTTGAGACCCAATACCAAATGTAGCATTGATGTCAAACATTAAGATACAAAATCTTCCAGGCATAATTGTTGTATTTTAGTGCAATTGTTGCGTAAGATGGTCTCAGAGTGTGAAGATGTCAAAGGGACAGAGTTTTGTTATTTTAATTTACTTCGCCCCTACAATTTTAATTTACTCTAATATATTCCTTATCATACCTTGATATGATATCTCATTCTCTAGTTTTATATTTTCTCCTATCTCTAATTGTATTTTTCCCTTTAAATGATTACACAAATTAGGTGCCCGTATGTTAAACCCTTCTCTTCAGAAAATTGACAGTCCATATATGCAGGACTAGAGGAGGGCATGGCCAAAAAGCATGCAACATCTTTTGAAGCTATTTTACCAATGAAGGAAAAAGTCACAATAACATCTTGGATTGGAAAGGACATATGATGTGAAGACACAAGCACGCTCTCCTACTCCTCCATAATTGAAACCCTGTCAAACATACAAACCAATGGCCCAACAGACAGGTCCAGTGTCAGGCTTTTAGCTTCATAGAAGGTCAGAGAAAATACCTGGAATATTAAGCATTAACAGTCAGCCGAAAATAACATTTTTAAACCAGAACAGAGCTAGAGATGAACAGAATTTGAGAAAAAGGTTCAGCACTAATAGTTTTGTAATTTATTTGATAATGTCAAATCAGTCAAATTGGAGACATAACCTTAACACAAACCTGTCTACATATAACTGACCTCCTTTTCCAAAAGCATTTGAAATTCAATATCATTTCATTTATTGAATTAGAATCTTATAACTTGGCTTCCACTCATTATGGAATCCAAATACCACAAAGATAACCACATCTAAAGCATCAACAAAGAATGTAAAGATTTTCAATAGCAATGTATCTATTATTGAAGAAATAGGGTTTTGAATCCCTTGAGGAAAATGTTAGGATTTGGTGTCAACTCAACCAGGGGGTTTCGAAAGAAAGAGGAGTTGATGTTCTCTTGTTTACAAAATCTATATATTAAAGGTGAATTGAGATTCTTAAAAATTGTTCTATCCGTTGAGAATGACAAAATGTTTTTTTCCTTGCTTCATTGATGCTCCTCGTTTACAACCCTGAAGGCAAGTAATTCTAGCTTTGATGATTTAGGTAGAAATAAATCTAAATTCTTAAAATCAAGCACTTCGTTCATTTGCAAGCTTACTAGAAACTACAAGTAAATGAAGGTAATTGAATATTCCCCCCTCTCTGCATGCAATGAAGCATTTAAAGATTTTATCAATAACAATGCAATAACCTGATTGAGTTTTGCTGTGCCTTTTGAACCAACTGGTAATTCTTGAAACTTTCGCTTTTGGGGAAGCCGTTTCTCCTTTTCAAGATCAGAGCTAGAGGTTGGCTTGGATTCTCTGTTTGATGCTACTGTTGTGGGAGAAACTGTTGAAGCAACAGGAGGTGAGTGTCTCAGAGCAAGGGCAACTTGTTGCAAAGGGGTAGCTTGAGGATATATTCCACCATATCCAATATAGCTAGTGCCACCCGATACTAAAGACGGAGTATAACCAATCATGGGATGCCCAGAGCTTAAATGTCCTGTAGGTTGTGGAGTAGTCCCCAAAGTGAGGGCAGCGGTGACACTAGTCACTCCAACCAAGGAAGCTGGAGGAACTGATGTCAAGACCACAGTTGCTGACATTGAACTACTGGTTAGGCTGGTACCTGCCTCTATCTCAACTCTAGAACTCTGAACTCCAGTCAACTGCTGTGGGGGTGGAACAGCACTATAAACTTGTGGGGGTGAAATGGCACTAGGAATCTGCTTTGACAATGAAGGGCCACTATAAACCTGCTCCGGTAGTGGAACAGCACTATATACCTGCTGGGGAGGTGGAACAGCAGTGTATACCTGCTGTGGAGGTGGAACAGCACTATAAACCTTACATGATGAAACCCTATGACAGTTAAATCATAAGTTATTTTATATAAACAAACATAAAGTAGTATAACACAGTACCAACAATAAACATAATCAAACACAAGTTTAAAACATTGAAATGGCAGAGGACAGGGGAAATTTTCTCTACTACTAACCAGATTGACCAGACCTAGACTTCCCACCCATACACTGCCCTCTCATCAATCTCAGTTCCAGAGAAAATTAAAACTAAATTTAACTTTGATGCAAACCTGAAGTTCTAAATTTAATATTTGAATCATCCAGTGAATTCCAGAATTGAAATTGGCAAACTAAAGTACACACCCCATACTAAAGAACTGTACCTGGAACCCAGAAGTACACAATTGTAAACAAAATAATACATGGAGACAATAGGATAATTATAGGACTGTTAGTGAAATAGACTGTCGGGAAGGGAACATACATTCATGAAAATAATCTATAATCCATGGATGAAAAAAGTATATTGTATACTTGCCATGTTGAAAATAGTAGACCATAAATTTGAATTATCAAAAGGTAGGTGTGTCATGTACCATGAATTATAAAGTAGAAGAAATTAGGAATGTTCTCAAAATATTAAGTTTCTTCATGGCAAGAGCTGAAATCTAAAGAGGGTACAAAATTTCATAAATTTCCACTCCAGAGGAGAAAATCTTGCCCAAAGAACACGTACTCTATTACACAATAAAATTAAATACCTTGAAGCACCACACTCAGTGCAGATGGTATCCAAAAGATTTTCAGCCAAGAGTTTAGCATCTTCAAGACTTTTGGCACTGTTACTGGACAAAAATAGATGCAGAGGCTGATGTCCATCTGCTACCAGGAAAGCAATTAAAATGAAAAACATATACAATGAATTAATAAGCTATGTTGAAATACCATGCCCTTTAAAAGTCCAGATCACTGAAATGATAAGGTACCTTCTCCGTTCAAGCATTCAATGTTTCCTGAACCACGTCCTCTCAGAACAACTGTTGCTCCTGTTTCATTCATAATGTGATTTATATACTGGTCCTGCACGTTCAAACCCAAACCACCACCAACACCAAAACAATTTCTCCCAATCATATGGAGATGTCAGAGAGAGCTTGAAACATTAGATTATCTCGACTTCATTGTACATGATGTAAAATTCAGAAAACAAAAAAGAATTATATCCAGCAAATGAACATGAAAATATAGTGATGGGCATTGAAGAAAAAAGTATTATCCAACACAAGCTAACTATTTCTGTAGTTTAAGGTTTGTAATCAATTAGCACAAGTTTAGAATTTATTTATTTTTAGGTAGATATTATTCGACATATTAAAGTGTGAACACAGCACGTTCAGCCTCTATTTTTTATCCTGGTAATGAAGTTTCTTACTCATAGATATTTGCAAATTATCATTTGTTCTTGGAATAAAGTTAAATATTTATACAAAAAGATGCTTCTATAGTAATCAGAAGAACCATTTTTCATCTTTCTGAATATCACTTTCAACACCTAAAGTATTACAATGACATATGAAACCATAAACTGCAACAACAATCACCCTTTTCTTGCCTAATCAACTCTTGGAAAATCAGCACTCCTACCTCAGTATTTTCACACCGTCAAATCAGAAATTGAGAACTGTTGAAAGTCCCACATCGCCTACCTCATATCATTTGGTATGGTTTAAATACATGTTAAGCTACTCCACATATTGCCAATTGGTTTTATGTTGGAACCTTAACATGGTATCAGAGCCAAAGCCTAACATCTTTCCGGTTATTGTCATGGGCCAAAAGTTGCCCTTTAGTTGGGTCAAAAGTACCCTTTGCCTAGTCCGGTAGGCTTCGTTGGAGGGGGTGTGTTGAAAGTCCCACATCGCCTACCTCATATCATTTGGTATGGTTTAAATACATGTTAGGCTACTCCACATATTGCCAATTGGTTTTATGTTGGAACCTTAACAAGAACAAAGACATGGGTAATCCTAGTGAGTGAAAGGCTATAATAGTATGAAAACAAAAGTTGCAGATGAGTAAGTGGTAACCTCACATATAAATGCTTCTAGGCTTTAGCAATCATCTAATAAGTGTCTGACAGGTTTATTCACATAAGGTCATGCATGACCCCATCCAAGAATGACTAGATAAATCAATTGCATAGGGAAGGGCTTACATTTGGTCCCCGTATACGGGCAACAATGTTCATTGAAGGATCAGCATCAAAGCCCAAAAACACACTTGTATTCAGCACCTGGGTCAGCAAGAACTTACAGCTGTTAACACATCAAGTCACAACAATGCGCAAAAGTTAGTAATAAATGAATGTCTACCTTCAGTCCATTAACCAAAGCTGAAGGTGAAGCAGAAGAAATTGATTGTGAATTTTGCCCTTGCTTGAGTATTTCTTCAATCATTGCAGCGGCGCGATCAACAGCTAAAATCCTTTCCGCTGTCTCTTTTATCTGCAATAAAAGGTTATGTCACCAAAAGCAAAATAAATGATGTAATTTATTGCTATGTATACCAGTAGTGGACATCAAAACAAACACTAAAATTAGTGTATTACAATGTCATGAGTGGTGATACGAACAAGCCAAGTGGTTCCTCTTTTCAAGAAGAAAAAAACATTTATAGTTACAAATAAATTCATCAATCCCTTTCATGACATTTCATTTATTGCTTTGATTAGACATTATTTTTCTTTTGACTTCTCAAAGTTTTCCAATCAATAAAGTTATCAATGTTAGCTTTCACATTAAAACAAAAAAATGCACAAAAAATTTAATGAAATTTGATCATTTAACTCAATCATCATGCTATAAGAAATCAAGTAGCAGCTTTTACATGAGCTCCTGCAGAGATGTGAAGATAGAGTGGCTTCTCTCCATCAAGTGGTGCATTAGGTGGTCGATACTTTCCCCTGTGGAAATATTCCAGATATACATTACATAAAGTAACATATAACACATGGGTTTTAGAAATGCCTTAAATGGCCTACAAACCTAGTTATAACAATGGCACCGGTGCACCTCTGGATCTGCAAGAAAAAGAATATCAATCTTTAAAGATTAATTAAGAGGAGGTTGGAGCTAAAAGAATGTAGAATGTATTATATATGTCACCTCCTCTTGTGTCTGGCGTTTTGTTAACTTGTATCGAACAGAAGACTCCGCATCATTTATGACAATTTCCCGAGCAATTATTAATTCATCTTGGATCTTTTGCTACAAGAACATTCATCTCACGATTAACATATGAAACCTGAATATTATTTAAAATTACAAAAGAAATCCATAATAAAAACATACTGTTGAATATAGGGAAAAACTGTATAGGTTAATTTCCCTTGTGTATTTACCACACATAGGGCAGTGTATTTATAATAAAGAAAGGTACTCCTCAAAAGAGTAACAGAATACAAATAGGGTAAATAAAAGATATTATTTGATATTGTGATTAACAATATCTAACAATATCTCAACAATACCAAATAA